TATTCGGCACAGGTGGGCTGTTGGTCTCACACAAACAGACCGCAGAGCGTCCGCAGGGCTCTGGGCCAGGGAACTCCCCCAGCCACGGTACCTGGTTTCTATCCAACCCGCATGTCCATCGGCTCGCTCGGTTGGCTCTGAAAACCGTCTGGCGGCTGTCGGCCACTACGATTTTTTATACTTCCTAGAGAGGGACATCCTGCGTCAGAGGAGTCGGGCACCGCACCGGATATTCAGCATGCCATTTTAACAAGCAAGTGGTCAGCTATCTATCTAATCGGCGCTTGATGACCATTAGAACACTATAAGTGTGGGTACTGGGTTTGTCTGGGCACTGGCGTTGCGTTGCATAATCGTATCTAGCCTGCGAAAGTCATTACCTGAGTCAGGCAAAGTCGATGAAGAACGTCATGCTACACAACATAAGGAATCGGAGCTGTATATGCTATATCCGTAATCGTGCTGCTATTTCAGGGCCACATAAGTGCACCCAATCGAAAACTGAAGCTCGTCGTTTGCTTTCAATGCTTGGTCAAGCTCTTGTCATGTCAGATCAAAATAGGGCATCTAAGTTTGTCCGATATCCGCGTTCTACAATCTATTTCGGGAATGTCCGGGAGTTACCGCCATAGTACCAGGTTATCTCGCTATCTCTTATCACTTAACTGGTTTATCAAAGACCGTTGATAAATTGATATTCTGATTGTCCTCTTCAGTGGCAACGCCGCGTTGACCGGACACATGAAACGAGCTCTTCAATTGAGCACGTCATTGTGCGTGCAGCGCCATAATTGCTCTACATTACCATTACGACTCCCTTGTTCTATTCCCGATTCTTCCGATCTCCATTGCAAAGTAATTTCTAATTTTGATCTTAGGTATAGGACAAAGACAGACACAATACATCTCTGGCGTGTATTTGAGCATTAAAAAAGTACAAAGCAGAAAAAGACAAACGTACAGGACGACATGGAAACAGCTTACGAGAGAAAGATTACGAGCTTACGAAAAACAAAATGAAGCAAACATCGCCATCCAAGCACGGGATGACTGCAGGGCGGAGAGACATAACCCAGGGCACACCAGCCGAAAATCGTCACACGTCAGCGAAATAATATCGAAACCAGCCACACGACACGACGAGCTCCCCTCGGGAGAGTCGACCACGACGGCGGCGAGGTCGGCGAGGTCGTCGCCGGCCCAGGGACCGAAGCGCGCGACACGGCGACACCTATAGCCGCTGACGGTCGGTCGTCTCCGCCAGGCGCTAATAGAAAAATATGTACACGGGGCGGCTGGAGCGCGGAGCGACACCTGGCCGCGAGAAGCGGCGACCATCGGACCATCCGTCCGTTCCGCCTGTAACAACAACACACCGCGTGATCGGACATAAGCTACGATGCCTACATTTAATGACATGGATGTGTGTAAATGAGATTGGCAGCCATCGCTAGCGCGAGCGGGCGCGCGTGTCACGCCCAGACATGTCTGCGGAGTGTGGTCTGCGAGATTCCTTCCACACGAGGGACTTCCCCAGGTAATCCCCGGCCATCTGGTCCGTGTATACATTGCGACAAAGGCGCTCCGAGAGGCTGGCTAGCATAAATACGACGTGCACGACTGGCCTGGGCGACGCACACGCTGACCGTGGCGGCACGCGCTGACACACAGACGAAGGGACTCAGACGGGGCAGCCGGCGAGCCGGCGTAGCGGCGGCGCCAGGCGAGGGTGGGGGGCTACATTTGTACTAGAAATCATACCGAGTACACCAACGGAGCAGCGTCAGGCACAGAGAACGAGAAATTCAGAACGGGAGATGCGCACGGTAGCGGGCCTCCGCACAGCAGCCCGACAGACACACACAATCGCTCGGCACGCGAGCACTTTGGTTTGGTTGCCTGCATCGCGGCGGCGGCGGCTCGGTAGGAGCTTCCGTTACCGCCTGTCACTCCTTCCAACCCCCGCTCCTTCCTCTACCTCCCTCCGCTCCCTCTCACCAGATCCCTCTCCTATCGGCGCTCTCATCTACCTCCCGCCGCCCCGCGCAGTTGTTACGTTCCCTCTCTAGCTCCCTCCCTTCCGTCTACTCCTTGTTCTTGTTATCCTCGGCGGCCGCGTCTGCCTCCTGTTTGGTGCCGACGATGACGGCGTATTCTGTCTTGTCGGCGCTGGGTCGCACCTCGGTCTTGACACCGTCCGAGTTGAGCACCAGCTCGGCATAGACCACCTCCCCGCCCTCCTTTTTGGGGGGCGGAGCCGCCGGTTGGCCGTCGCCGTCCGCCTCCGGCTTGGTCAGCTCCTTCTTCTCCTCCTGGGGGGGGGGGGGGGGGCAGGCGGATGTCAGAGGAGTAATTGGGCGCGGTCAGGACCCGCGCAGATCGAGGGGACTGCTGATTAATCGAACGCTTTTAGAGAGCATTATTATTGAACGTTGGCATCGAACTTTGATTTCGAACGTTGGTATTGTTACATCGAACGGCGCAAATTAGAGCGGGAATGCTTGACTTACAAAGTCACGCATGAGGCCGATCACCGATGTTGTGTGCTTAACCACCAACGTTGTATGAATGCTTTCGTACAACATGCATATATTCGTACTACGCGGAAGCATTTATCCTTATTTTCTACTGAACAGCGTTTGAACAATTTTATTTCACTTCGTTATATTATTGGTACCGAATGATAGAATATCCAATTCCTAGGCGGAAGATCAAAATGATTGAAAATACTCCGAACCCATTTGATCGAAGCAGCCTCCTATGAACCCACCTCCTTTTCGCCCATCTCTGCGTCCGTCTCGGCCTTGTTGCTCTTCAGAAGGCTGGAGAAGAGAGAGGTGAATTTGACAGACTTCTTCTCAGGCTCGTCCGTCTTTTCGGCATGCGCAGACTCAGTGTCGCTACTGAAAAAGCAACAAAGGAAAAACGTAGGGGGAATGCATGCAAACGAAAGAGAAGTGCACAACATAATAAACCGGCAACTTAATAACAAACTATAGGTAAATAATGAACGGGTGTTTCTACAAAAATAACGGCAAAACATTGAGATCTAATGTTGAGTGAAGGTTTAGGAACTTATTGAAACAAAACTTACATGGACATGCAATACATAATAATTAATTAGCAACTCATGCAAATAAGTGAAGAAATCGCTCAGTAATGTTCAATGTCATTTACGTCTCGGATGTGCAACAGACATGAACACTGAACAAGCCATAAGCACGTCCCTTTGTAAATTAATATCAAAGATGAAACAAGTTATACCTAGAATTGAGTGAAAATTGGTGACAAAGTTTTCGACAATAATTCGCTTACAAAGGCATAAGGACCATAGCTTCTTTATATCATCATCATTGGTCAATGGTCATGTTTTGGCTGAGAAAACTATTACACGCTTATCAATTAAATCCCTTAGATACACGACTCATGACACGCTGCAGTATGACTTGTTGTCCTTTTAGGTAAACATTGAGGCAATTCTTGTAAGTCAATAACAATTAACATTTTTTTTTTGTTCGTGTGGAACATTAACGATCGACTTACCCATCAGAGCGCTCCTCCGCCTTCTCTGCAAACGGAACAAAATTGTTCAGTACATGGCAACACCACATCAATATAAATAATATCAAACCTAATCGTGTATTAACAGCAATGTTTTTATGATGGTTTATTTACTATGCACCCAAACTGTAATAAAAAAGGTGACATTCACCTCACCAAAAACAAAGCAGTTTACGTTAAAATTTGCATTCAGACGACGTAGTTGAGCCCTTACTTTTGACATGTCACAGCCCACAACCGACCCCCATCAGAGGCTCCCGTCCAAACTAAGTACCATCTATCTTCTGCCATTGCCTATCTAACCGTTCTACTTGTCTAGGTACAGGGTGATTCATAGCCATGTGACCTATTTAGTTGATCTCTCTTGAGAAGAGGATTGCATATTTCCGCATGAAATTTCACGTGCTAGTAGAAAATTTTATGAAGTTTTGTTCTATCTTGGTCTGGTCTGTGTGTATCGCTCAAGATGTACACAGCGCAGCAAAAAGTAAAAATGTGTAATTTGCAAAGGTTAACGCAGTCCGTCAAGCAAACACAAAGATATTTCTGCACGTCTGAGGGCTTGCACCCAAGGGAAACTCCAAAGAAGATAACAATTCATAGAATCGTTAATCAATTCAAAGCGGAGGGCACGGTTCAATGATAAATACGGCACAAAAAAATTGTTAAGCGAACCCCGGAAAGTTGATTTCAAAGAGCGCTGAGGTCAGGTGTGCGCCACACTCGCCGGAGCTCAACGTCGTGGAATTCTTCCTCTGGGGATATGCAAAGTCCGAGGTCTATGGGGAGAGTCCCCAGGATATTCTGGGGCTGAAGGATGCCATTGGAAGCTGCTTTGGTTCTATTTCCTTAGAAATGTTGTGCGTCCGCGCCATCGCCAACTTTAGGCTCTGGCGCTGGAGTGCATCCGTCGCCGAGGTGGCCATTTTGAACATCTTGTATAAAAGAAGTGTGAGAGCCGAAGGAAAAGTATTTGTGGCTGATGCTATACATGGATCAAAACTTCAGATTTGGCTGTTTCATATGGTACTTGGCAATGGCATGTAACACGAATACATTTCCTGTAGTTTTCATTTATTTTCGGTCACACGGCTATGAATCACCCTGTATTTACTCGCCTAGGCCTTAGTTGCCTGCCTGCCCACACTAAAGTCGAACCTTCTAAATAGCATGACATGTCGGGTGGTATGTGTGGTCACTGTGTCTGGGTACTGTGTGAAGCCTATGGAGCTTAATTACTCAATATTACGTCGAGTGAATATACTTTCAACGTGGCGCATCATTTGTATGGTTATGATAGCGATGCAGTTTTATTCTAATCTACATCACCCCTCGTGCTGATAATGCTCGCCGATTAGCATTCAAATATCTGGAGCGCAGTTTTCAAAATTGTCTCACTCCTATGCATTTCCAATTTGTCAGTACATCCAAGTCCCACGTTGTCCACCTGTACACATTGTATTGTCTTCGTCACATCAACGGTAGCTAGAGCATCCATAAATGCCACAACAGAAGCTAGGGGCAGTCGGCGCGCTTGTTCAGCGCGTCTCTATTCGCCGTCTATCCGCCGTCTCTCGTCTCTCGTCTCTCACTGGCATTCTCGCGACAGTCCGACGCCGGTCGCCGCTCAACATTGTACACACAGACACAGCTGTCTACGACAGGCGAGCTGCCCAACAGTCACGGAGTACCTCCGAGCGCATATTTACGTCTGGACAACGAGTTGCGGGGAAAAGTGCTGATTGTGTTGCAGTTTTAGGAGCCGGTGATTAGGCTGGATTTTTGGGTTACTTTTTCGTTCCGATTCATGTATTTCATAGTGTTTGGCTTTTGAATATTTTAGTTCTTTCAGATAAATATTACTTGCCTTACAACTTTTGTAAAAACGTTTCATTTTTTTATAAGCCGACGTTCAGAGTCCTAAAAACACATCAGCACTACAATCATTGTAAACAAACAAATGGAGCACCACTTGGCTCTGTTCCAAGGCCATTTTTTAGTTTATCTGGTGGTTTTCTTGCTCTTTTACGTCGTTTTGTTGGATGTTTTGAATCCCTTAAGATTGACTTATATCATATTTAAGAAGCATGTTGACTGAAAACAATCTGAAGTATCCAGGAGGCTGACAGAGGTCCTGCTCCTGACTACTGAGCAATATCAATATCAAGTTGAACTTAAGTTATGAAATTTTGGTTGATAAACGCAAATTGATCGGGCTCATATATCAGCAAGAAAAAGTAAAATTAAAAGAGCTTATTGTCCAAAAACAAGCTATAATATTGCAGACCTTGGAGCAATACTGAAGAGCACGCTGAGCAGGATCATGCCAGAAAATGTTGACTGATGAGCGCATATTGATGAATTGGTATGAATATTGAATGATAACTTACAACAGCAAGATAAATTAGTGCTAACCATCAAGTTAAAATCTAGAATGAATGGACTTGAGCAGTTTTACTATGCTTAGATGCTATGCAGATTGTAATGTGCATCAGGTACTCAGTGTCTGGCAAATGAAACATGCGATCATTCCATTACTACTGGAGGAGAAAACTTGGATCACTAAATCCACTTTATGTTGATTTTGATGTTAATCATCATCACTGTATTTCTTGAAAAAAGGATTGTAGTAAAATTGTCAATGTGACAATCCATGCAACGATGTGATCATGTGTTCATAGTCATTCGTGATAGTCAGTCATTATTGATCCAATATACAATGGCAAAGCTCTCAGTCTCAGCGTTTCTTCCTGTAGATGGCCAGCAGTGACTCAGAGCTTAGAAGTATTAGTTTTCTTCACAGGGCTGGGATAAAAAGTACTGACGGTAATCTTCCACCAAGGACGTCTACTTTGACATGGTATGAGATGTAGGCACAAGTAGGTAGGTGCTCAGTTCCTATAGTCAGTAGTTGTGTATGTTTAGTCGGGTTAGCTTAGATCAGATTGTTAGTTTTTTAATTTGCCAAATGTCCATAAAAATGTGACCTGAGCAATGAGCATACCTGAACCTGACTAACCTGACCTGACAGCTGACCTAACCTTAATCATCACACATATTAGCAGCCTACCCAAGACCTGCATGGCAGTAGCACCCAATTATAGGTAGGTACTCACCCTAACTCAATCTTACCTGCTAACCTTCAACTTGCCAAAAGTTAGCTCACATTGCCAAGCTGTGTCCAGGGAAACAGTCAACTGAGGAACTGGCTCATTGGGTGGCTGGTGTGAGTCTGTGCATATAAAGTGTTTCTTCTCTGAAGCTGCTCAGCACTGCTGTATGTCATGTTAGATGCTCAGAAAATGTGGGAAATGATTACTAAGCTTAGTGCTTTGTTAATGCTCGAGACATGAACAAGTACAGATCCTGAAGGGTACAGCTATGAGTTAGGTGCTAGGTGAGTATGTTATGTGAATGTGCTGTTCCCTGTTTGCACGTAAGTATACAAACAAGTACAGGGTCACAGTTATATTCAATCTCCACATAAACATACAACAAAAACGGCCATATAGCCTAACTCCGAACACACCACAGATAACTTAAGCCTTTGAAGGCACAAAAATGCTTTGATTAACAGGACATGTATACAATATATCCTCTGTCCTTGGGGGATCTTGCTGCCAAGTTGAGGTACGATGACTGAACTTCAGGATTGATCAACCTTTTCTTAGCCACTGCTTATAAATGAGAAAGACCAAATGCTTGTTTGTAAACTGCGTTGAAAATTTAATGATCCACCTTCAATTCTGACATGAAGGCACAAATGAAATAGTTCCCTCTCCTTTTGGAATACACAAAGCAAAATATTTAATAAATTTTAGTGGATGGACAAGAGCAATTAGCATAGCTTTCCCTCATTCGCTTCATATTTTGTAACAAACGCGCTAAAACTGCAATATAACAGCACTATATGCTTCTTGACAAAAGGCAATAGTATTAAAAATTTAGCCCTGATGTTATTCATTCTTGGTGGAAACGTAATTACAAAATATTTTGTAGTAACTATTAAATTCCGGCCGAAAACAGTGCACGGTTTAAAAAAGAATCATTCCAATGACGGTCCATTCTTGCGGTCCTGAAATCGCCACTATTTCCGGCCTCTCCAACGCAACTCGTTGTCCAGACGTAAATATGCCCTCCGAGCACTAGCGGAATGTTACGCCCGCGCCAGCGCACTGGCAGCAGCCCCCAGGGGCACGTGGCTAAGCTGCTAAAGCGGCCCCTCTCTGCGCACGGGTACACCGTGCTCGCCGCTCAAACGCAACTCGCTCTTTGTAGCGAGTTTGCACGTTGCGAGGCGCAAAACATTAAAATGCACGTTGCCACTCAGTACACACACATCTAGAGGTAAAATACGCCTCGGGCAGTAGCTGGAACACCTCAAGCCTCACAAGATAGCTACAGACATGCTCAAGCATGCTAACGAATCCTGATGCGTCGCGCTTTCACTTGTCGCCCGACACGGGCAGGCGTATTCACTAGTTCGCACGCCATCAAGCGTTCCGTTCAGACGAGCGTTCGCACCCCATGGTCGCAGCACAAGACCGCAGTTTTTGCGCTCGCTCTCTTGGTGCACCAGCACGTCACACGTCCTCACGCGCTGGCTGATCGTCGAGCTGCGCGCGCTCTCCGCTCGTCGTCACCGGCGAGGGACACCAACGGACGACACTGCGCGGGGTTCTGGCGCTATGTATCACAGAGCGGTCGCTGCCCGGCCTCGAGACGGGCTGGCGCGGCGCTCGTGCGGTGCTCTCGGCTCTCGTTGGGTGCTCTGGGGCTCGTGCGGTGCTCCGGGGCCGGCTCAGACAGCCGTATCGCTCGGGGGAGCGGGCGCGGCGCCGTTCGCACCGTTCCTCTGTGCCTCGCCGTCGGCCGGCGCCGGCGGCGGCTCGGTGGCGCCGGCAGGAGCCTCCGACGCCGGCGAGTCCTGCACGGCCGTCGCCTGCTTCTGCTCGTGCCCCGCGTCGTTGTCGACGTGACCGTCGGCGGTGCCGCGCCCCGCCTCAGCGTCGTCGGCTGCGCCCGCGCCAGCGCCCTCCTCGTGCGCTGAAAGCCGAAACAGCACGATAAGGCGTAACGAATGGGAGTGCCTTCGGCTCACAGCGGGGCTACGTTAGCGGCCGTGAGTAGTGGTTACGTTAGTTCGTTATTAGTGGCCGTGTGTTGCAGAGGTCTGCTAGACGGCGCCGCAGTCGAGGCCAGGTCCGAGGAACCAGGCCAGACAGTGGCGCCGCGGGGCAAGCTACAATGTAAGCTGGCCTGGCAAAGCCGAGGGCCCTCCACCGACGCCTTATCGTGTCATTTCAGCTCGCAAAGCACAGATCGGAGAGGCGACTGGCCGGTGACGGCCGATCGCACACATGCTTCATTCGTTGGGCGCCGGACAAAAGGTTTCGGCAGCCGTCATATATGCAGAATGCTCGACAATGCTTCCGCATCAAAGCAACCATGTTTCGTTTGTTACGAATAGCAGACATTCAACAGAGGAATAATTACTCCCGTATTATGTTAATATATTTTTAGGAAAATGGATCATTAACCCGGCCGGGCCCGGGGGGTAATCCCAACCACCGCAGCCCGGGGGGGGGGCGTTTTTCGCCCCCCCTGTCTAACTCCGTAAATAAGGGAGCTACGGAAACAAAAGCGATACCAAACGAAAGGTCCTTATGAGACGATTCTAATGCACCCAAAATTTTTGACCTCAGGTCAATTTTCAAGGTCAGAGGTCAAGGTCAAAGGCCAAAACCGGCACATGTGTAGTGATCTCAAAGTAAGCATTCTAGAGGACGGCAGGCTGCATCAAACCGGCAAAATTGGGTGTCAAACGAAAGAAGAGAATCTGAGGATTCTGAAAAGGTGCTCCAAATCAAAGGTCAAGGTCAAGGTCACGCTCAAAATTGACCTCAAATTTGGCACTTTTTCGCACATCTTGCGTGCTAACTTCAAAGATGTTTTGAAATGTTTTGAGGCTTATCAGTTCCCTATTTGTGGTTCATCTTACGATACAAGGCTGCTCAAAGGTCAAGGTCACAGAAGAGTATCCCTGCTAGAGGCTATTTCACTGATTCAAGTTAGTAATAATAAATAAGACGATTTTGCCATCCAGAAGCTCTAAATGAAGGCTTAGAGGAAAATAGATGCCAGATTCGTGATCAGCGGGTACAAATCCATCATAAACGACCTTTCATGTGTCAAGGTCAACCAGAGGTCATTCGAGGTCACATGAGGTCAACATGAAACTTGACCTTTTCCGAACAAAATATATATCATTCGACGCAGCTTGACAAGGCGAATGCGATGGTACCACTGCCGTAGCTCTAGGACCATTTTTGTCGAAGTTATTTGCGAAAAACTAAAACCACATTTCGGGGTCGTTGACCTGACCTCTGACCTCAGGTCACCGAAACTATTTTTCTATTTTTCTCTAGGTCAAACGCTACACAGCCGTGCTCGTAATTTGTCTTTATCTCTAAAACTCTATTTTTAGCAGCTATTTGAAGTTTGCGTCTGTGACGCCGAAGTTTGCCGTGCAGGGGTCTAGAAAAATGGACCTTGTGACGTCATCAAGGGGGCTAGGTCCGAATTTTTTACTTCAGAAGATGTCAAATTGATGGGAGAAAAGGTACTGAAAGTTTCGCCTTCCTATCCCTAAGCGTTCGTGAGTTATCGCAAATATTCGCCAGGGGGGGCGAAAAACGCCCCCCCCCCCGGGCCCGCGAGGGTTAAAGATATAAACATCAGTCCCTAGAAGCGACAGCTGACAGCGTGTGCGGAGAGTGAGCAAATTTCTACGTCAGCCACTATTGCGCGCGGAAGCTCCAACCAGCCTGCAGCCCCATATGTATCTGTCCACACACCGTGCTGTTCTGTGCATGCATGCCGATGGGTACGCGCTGTGCATGTTGCTGTCAGTGTGAGAGCTCAGCCACCCCGCCGCACCCCACCCCGCAGTCTCACCTGGCATAAGATGCAAGCTCCAAGCGGCGGCGCAGCCGGCAGCAGAACCCCGGGGCACCGCATGCACATGCTCCTCAGTCCTTAGTCAGCAGCATACTCCAAACTAAGTTCTCAGGTTCTCCAAACTAAGTCCTCAGGTTCAGTTTATTTACAGCATTAGTCCACTGTACAGAGCAAACTGGCCACGATTTGTACGTTCAAACTGCATTTTGTTTACGGCACAGTCCGCTGTATTTCTAGGAAAGCTCATTTTCTTAATAACTCGTACAAAATCTAAGCTCTACTCAGCAGCATCACTATATTTCTCACTTCCATACACTCCACACACATGCACTATATCTAACAATCGCTAAATCATGCAATGGTCATGAAGCATGCTCATTGTTCCGCCAAGCTCGTTAGCTGCAGCCTAGTTGCTACGACCAAAGTGTGCGATCTGCATACATCCAATATACGCCATGCACGGCCTCTCGAGGCGGCTTACGGTTAGTCTACAAAGAGAGAGGCACAGCATGAAACAGGAGGAAGAGACAGCAGTTTGTAAATGACACAAATATGGCAGCTGCAAGGACAGCCGCGAACATGCTACACGATCATGATGAAGGGGTTTGTTCACTCGGAACAAAGTTTCCTGCCTGATGTAAATCTCATAAGTATACTCCGTATAATCTGTTAGTACCCTGTTAGTACACTGATCGGCATACAAAGCAACTGCTAAAGCTAACAAACTGCGGGTGTTACGACTGTTGTTCTGATGAGCAGTAAGCTGTAGCTAATATCTCCCTGGGAACCTAACAGCACTGCCTACTTTCAGAGCCCGAAGGTAATGTGGGTACCATATTTACAGTAGGAGCACCAGTTACAGTGTATGCATAAAGTGTAGCTCCATATTCATATTCAGGTGATTCATCTGTCAACAGCGTCCCCACATAACTGACGCAAGGTCATGGTCAAACATTCACTCATCTCTGACACCTTGATATCGCCTCCAGACGTCTTTAAGTCGCTTCGGCAGTGTACCCTGCATCGGATTCTAGCCTTTCCCAAGCTTCAGTTTCACCCCACATCACTCGACGGGCTGCCACGCAAGTCTTTGATGCGTCGTAGCCCCCACCACATTCACTCCCTAGCCGCCTGTGTCACACTCCAGGCCTTGTGCCACGCATTCCCTTGGTTCATCATGCACTTCCCCATCGGTGTTTCCCCTTTTGGTCACACCGCTGAGCCGTCACCAATCGGGTCCAGGAGGGAGGGAGTGGAGGGGTACCTCGAAGATAGCTCAGCCCGCAATTCACCGGGCAGCACCTGGACTGCTCCCGCCGGAACCTGCGACTGCGGCCGACCTTTGGGCGGCAGCGGCGGCCCCGGGCGGCGCACCACGGCGCCAGGAGGAGGGTACGGGATGCCCAGCTCCTCCCGGGAGCCGCGCGGCGGCAAGTCAGACCGAGGTCGCGTCGAGAACCCCGGATTGTCGGGAGGGAAGGCGATGGCGCCCCTCTGTCTGCCCGCTGACATCTGGGGCTGGTGGGGGTTTCTCTCCGGGAGCGCCGGTGCTGCCGTGTTGGAGTACATGCCCATCCCGGCGGGACCTGGGCCCCAGCTCTGGTCAGGACGGCCCGGTCCGTATCTGTCCCCAGGCTCCTGGCCGCGCGCGCCCATAGGAGCGGGGCCCGGGCGGCCCGGCTGTGGCCCGACCCCGGGGTAGCCCATTTGACGAGCCCCAGGTGGGCCCATCTGAGAGGGTCTCTGCTGCCCCGGAGGGCCCATTGGAGAGGCGCCGGGCGGGCCCATGTGAGAGGGCAGCGGACGCCCTGTCGGAGGGTGCTGCGGGTGACCCAGGGAAGAGGCCGGGGAGCTCAGCTCCGAAGTCATCGGTGACGACGTAGCAGCAGGGGGCGCCCTGCTGGTGGGGAACCGTATCGGGGAAATGGGAGTGGGGGGTGTCCTTGGCATTGTAGCTAAGTCCGCTTCACCGACACGGGGCGTGGCGGGGGCCAACGAGCGTGGCGGAACATCCAGTTCCGGAATGTCCACAGGTTCGGCCGGCTGTTCGCCTACTGACCCCTCCTCGGAGCTCGACTTCGGGACCGGAGTCGGAGAGCCCTCTCTGACGAGCGGCTGCGGCGCGGCGGTCTCCCCCTCACCGCCGCCCTGCTCCTCCGCCGGGGGCTCGCCGGCGATATAAGTCACCTCCTCCATCTCCAGCTCAGGGTCCCCGTCCTCGACCCCAAGCCGGCGCTTGTTCGGTCGCGAGGTCATGCTCTGTTTGAGTGCGGTCAGGCTCAGGGGTACGCCAAACTTCCCGCCACCAACACCTCCACCAGGACCGCGCGAGTTACGCCGCCGACTGTCGGTGGGCAGCGAGTTACGCCGCCTCCTGGGCGCGGCGCCCGCGGCCGCGCCCGCGCCTCCGCCAGCAGCTCGGCTGACGTTGGACGCAGAGGCGGACGGCCGCTGCGCCTTGAGAGGCCGCGGCGGCGCTTTGGCCGGCTTGTCGACGGTGTCTTTGGCCTTACCTGCGAAGCACCATTTGCCGCGGCTGCGACCGAACGCCACCAGAGCGATGATGATGATGAGGACGACGACGGCGGCCACAATGCCGCCGATGGTGGCGCCCAGCGCCGCTGGCGGGAGAGCAGGGAACGTCAGCTTACACACAGCGCCGACAGGGTGACGGGGCTCAGATCTAGAGCTGCAACTCGATCGCCCTTGTATAAATTGCTATAGTGAACACATAATGTGTTGAATTGAAAAATCCAAAGGAATTTGAGCAAGGGGCTATGCAGAATGAGACCGACAAGATAGACGTTTCAAGCCAAGGATAATATTTAGAACGGAATACGCTAATGTCAAAAGCCTATGAATTACTGAGAGTAGACAGTCCTGTCCTGTGTAGGTATAAGATAATTATGTTCACATATACAAGATATACCCTAAATAAGCTGGATATATACTGCTACACTGAATCAGCTACAACTACCCAGGCAAGCGCTTCTGCCTCAACCACTATCAAAAGAAGTAAGAAGAACGAAGACACGTATTAACGCTAAACCTACGCACTCACACCCATTCGAGCTCATTCATCAGCACACGCACACACGCACACGCAAAACCGAATGGCAAGAATGGCATCTGGACTAGGTTCTGAGAAAACGGAAATTTAGCAGGTGTCGAAGAAAAGATGGTTACTGAGGTAGAATACCACCGAAATTTGACCAAAGAATGTTAGTTGACGAGGAATCACAAATAAAAAGAATGCTAACTATATACCATTGTTGGATTTTTTTCAGGGAAGAACGCTTCTTGTAATATTTTTGTTACCTCAAGAGAGACATTTAACACGGATTAGTGAAAACTGTCGAGTTAAAGTTAGAGGACAACCTGGGTTAAGGCCAGATTCAATGAAAAATGATAAGAAAGCAAAACGCCGTTAGCGCAAAGAAAACCGCCACCTCGTCAGGCTTCTTTGTCAACATGACCTCCGTTCCTCTTCAAGAGGAACAGCGCCTGTCAACGAACTCCGTTCAAGCCGATTCAAACGGCCCGCGGTTAGTGTGCGCCATGCTGGTCTGGTTAGTTCACAGAACCGCCGCCAGGGGCGCAGCCGTTGCCGGCTGCAACTGATCCTTGCCATTGGTCTCGCCACCCATTTCGTGGCCGGCGCTGAGAGATCCGGGCGCAGCGTCGGCGTCGGCGGGCGCCGCGTTACCTTCCGGTGGCGGCGGCGCGCCGGTGCCGATCTGAAACTCGAGCGCCGTGCTGCCGACGCTGTTCTCCAGCTGCAGCACAAACGTCTTGGACTGGTCTTCCATCTGGACGGGGTCGATCGTCAGCGTCAGCGCGTACATGCCCAGCGAGGCGTTTTTCTGAAACAATGGGGAAGGGTGTCAGTGGTGTTGGAGGAGAAGGAGAAGCGAGACAGCTAGCATAACGGCTTAAACGTGTGCACTGAAAATTTAGGAGATACAGTACAGAGACAAAGGCGGACGCCCTTGCCTGTGAACTAAGCGTCGCCCCGACCAAACGATCTGAAACATCACCAAAAGAACCCTAGTAGAGCATCGGGCAGCCTGACAGGTTTTTTGTGTCACAGTCTCATACGTGTCAGATACATATCGGACATCTGCCACGTCAGATATCGTTTAAGCTAGACCCCGCGGGCAGCCCTCAACTCGACCCCCTCCACAATCTCCTAATACCCTCCCTCTATCTGCCTGCGTGGCCAGATGGGGTATCAGAGGTCAACATGCCACCGGATCACGTGAAAGACAGGCGATTGCACGCCATGGGTGGGGAGGGGGCCGATTAAAGCGCCCCCTGCACCGAGCAGCGATACCGTCAGGTCCGGTGCTGTTTACACTGATATAATGCCACGGCATATGAGTAATCAGCTGCACCGCTCACACAAAGGTATCGGTAACGGTGAGTCAGCCCCTGTTTGGGGGGTTCATGAGTGACTCGAGCCATTTAATGTCACTACGGTGTTAAGTCCATGAGTTATGTGGTCATTGCTTGCAATGCTTTCTAACAAACGTTGCTACGAATATGGAATATCATCCGTCGAAAGCTAATGTGTATCTCTTATTCCACTCTTCATTTCGTCCTCTTTTCAGTTTCCTTGTTTTGTTCCTCTCGATGTCCGCTGCCCTGTCCAGTGTCCATTCACCCCATCACACACGTCCCCTCCATACACTTTTTTGTCACGCACAATCCGTTACCATCCCACCTCTCCCTCCCCTCTACGTACGACGGTGATCATGCCCGAACTGAAGCGCCTGTCGATTCGGTCGGTGCCTCCAGCCGGCACCTGAACCGTGTCGCCGACCTTCCAGAACATTCGCGACGGCACGGGGTTGGCGGTGAAGTTGACCGTCACCTCGCCGGGCTGACCGGCCGTGAAGCCATACACCCGGCCGATGTTGTTACCTCCGGGCCGGTAGGCGGCGACTGTCGGAGGAAGATGGGGTCACAACAGGTCAGGGACGTGGAGGCCACCACAAAGCGGAACGTAGTGGATTGGTACAATAATGAGTGCGCTGCAGGCTACCGACTTTTCGTAGAGTAGGGAAGAGCTGATGTGTGACAGAAAATACGATGATATAAGTACGCCGGAAAAGTTCAAAGAGATCTCGACACAGTCGATAACGTGATGAAAGACGGTGTTGTTTGGGTGAAGGAAGGCATAAGTAAGGCGAAGCATGTCCTCGGCTACCAGATGTACATAGTGAATTTCCGATAAATAATAAACATATGTAGCGAAACATTTACCAATTTCAAACTCAAGACACGCCAAATTGCCAAAGATAGTCTAAACTATGAACTTACTAAAACGTCCGTTTATCTTTGGTTCATGAATCAACAAGCCACATTCATGACTACATCACCACGCCCACATTCACCCGGATCATAAACTCACACTGCACGTCAACATCCACGGCCGTCTCCCGCGCCTGCTGGTCCCCCATGTCATCCTTGTCGTAGCCGGCGTGACTGGCGACGCAGCGCAGGCTCTTGCCGTTGTCCTCCTTGTGGAACTGGTAGGTGAGCGTAGAGAGACTGTTCCAGTGGCCGGTGCTGTTGACCTGCGTGTCCTGCACCTCGATGGAGTCGTACAGTTGCGTGTTGCCCAGGTACCAGACGATCTCGGCCTTGGGCCGCGCCATCTCGGCCATACATTGGACTGTGGTGGGATTCGTGCTGGAGGCTTCCAAAGGGAACCCGCTGGCCACTTCGCCAATGTAGTAGACCCGCTTCGGCTTCTCTGAAGGGGCAGAGAGGTGGCGAGGTCAGACCCACAAGCAACTCACAAGAGAAAAGAGAAAAAGCGAGACAATGAGTGTTACTCCTGAATGACGAATCCCATGGCTGGACCTTCACAAGGCGAGAGGTAAAATGGATGAAAGGATATCATGTCTTATTCAAGAACATCCACTTAGCTTTGCAGTAGAGTAAGCGGTTCGAAGAGGAACCAGTTCACTCAGCTCAACTTACCGGCGATGATAAGCTCTGTGCCGGACGAATCCTCCTGGCCTCCCTTGCTGGTGTAGGGCGAGCACCGGTACTTGCCGTTGTACCTCTCGTCGACGTTTTGCAGCACAATGGTGCAATCTCTGGCGCTGTTAGGGTCTCGAGCAGTGATGTCTACATTCGGAGGAATCTGGTGAGGGAGCAGGTTATCAGTAATAGCATAAGGACGATCGGATAGAAAACAAAACAAGTACAACATTTCGGCTTGTTATTTCATTTTCGAGCACATTCAAAACATCTGAGACCTGAGTAGTCTCAATATTTGTCAAAGGTCCTTCATGTTGCAAAGCAACTAATGAAGTCAATCACCAGCGATATCAATTAACATAAAAACGCAGTCGTCTACCCACTCGGTTGGAGAGGAAGCCGCTGATGCCCAGAGCGGGCGTCTCGAGCTTCCACGCGCAGCTGACGTCCTCGTTTGTGATGCAGGTGAGGGTGACCTCGTCACCTCGGTGAACCACCAGCTCGCCCGGCGGCTGCTCTTTGAACAGGGCACCGAACGCGCCTGTGGACAGAGAGAGGGCACATCAGTTGTCAGAAAGCGCAGCACTTGGTTGTGAGACGTCTAGAGGATCCATATCTGGCAGAGGAGACGAACAGATAGTGAAGAGGATCGGAATTGAAGAAGGCGAAGAGGATTATGTGTAGATGTGACGATCATTTTGGTATGCTATACCACCGTTGACAATGACAATGCGCAAGAGGAGGTAGAAAACATTTGTAACGATGCTGTAATAGCAAAACTGATTTTCTAGATCATTGTTCTCTGATGCTCTTCATAGTAGCCTACCCAAAGTGTTCAGACTACACGTCTCCTGCTAACGCCCAGAGGTGTTTGTTGAGCTTATCGCATGGGCCCTCCACCTCTATCAGTACATGCATCTGTATCGGACAGATGCAGCATTCCATGCCCCCCCCCCCCCCACAGTCGACAAACGCTGCTTGACAGGGCATATCGCAGCGGATGCCGGATAACACCGGAATAGCGTGCTATATCGGCCCGCGACAGGCGGCATAGGCGACCAAGGAGTGAAACTCGATAATGGCCCTAGTTCGGGAGCTGCGGGCAACACACTGAGAGAAATGATGCAATCAGAAAACAAGGTGAAAAAGGTCACCAGCTCGGGTCATTCTGTTAGTCTAGCTTAATAACACCTATAAATAACGCCAATCTCAAAACATCACCAGGGTGTTTTCTAACCTTATAAGCCAAAGCCATACAGGAGTCAGGACAATTTGTTCGTCGAAGTTGCAGCGGTTCCTGAAAATTGCCCCTCCTTGGAGACCCTACCGCCGTTTCGTCTCCCCCTATCAGTGATGTCATGTCACAATCACGGTGTCAGTCAGGGGACCCCTGACTCCGCGATTGTCACATGACATGGTATGTAATAATCTCCACGGAAGCAACACGTGGTGTGGTGCGCCCCGTCTTCTCGATACACCGATTCATCATCACTATCGGCTTTCCGACGCGTCATCCGACCCCCGGCTGGGGCGGCCAGTGGGGCCAGCTGTCGGTACAGAGGGATGACTCACAGCGATCAAAGCCCGGCTCGTGACTAACAGAAAAAAATACCGCACCACGGAATGTCAGACCACAATGCCGCAGGGGCACGGACATACGACCTACTGGCGTGGCTCTCTTCATATTGCATAAGCGGCAGAAACATTGAGGAACGATGTGACCAACGTTCTTCGGGACCGACGCAGATGTCTTGCGTCGGTCGTCGCTCGGTGGGGGATGTAGCGACGGTGGAGGTCCCCGGTCGCTGGGAACGTACCCGGCGGGGCGGTGGTAGGAAGAGGGAAATGTGGCTCGAGTCTTACAGCGACGTGTGTTATAAGGAAATAGGTGAACAAGTGGGCCACGGGATCATCGGAAAGCTCTACGATCACCATTTTAAACGGTTCGTGGATATGATGAATTAAGTAACTCATATACTATTCCTCTAAGTTAGCTTCGATTCACAAATAGAAATGTTTATCACAGCCCGCGCTCTGTTGTCTGTTTGGCAGCCCAGCCACGGGAGCCCGTGATGTCACAACGTGACGCCTGCGAGTCGTCTGAACTTCATCCCCCGGCCGGGTCAATATTCGAGGAGCGCGGCCACTGCCTGCCTCCCCGGTCCGGGCGGACAGCAGTGTTTCCATTCAGTCCGGATGAGTGCCACCCCGCGACCGCAGCCGGGGAGAACAAACAGAACGGTCCCGGCGAGCCGACCTCCACAGGGGCGGCGGGCTGCGACGGGCCGACCTCCCACCGAGACGTAACAGGGCGGCGCCACCAGCGCTCCGGCTCGGCGCGGCAGTAGAGGGTTGGGTGGTTTGTGCTACTGAGGTGTGTAAGTTACACGAGAATGGCATAGTGAGAAAAATGAGTTGGTGATATAACGATGTGACTGTGAAATTGAAGATATTAGGTGAAACCCAAAACACATGCTACTTGCTCCACCTCCTACATGCCTTCTGACTGATTTGATTCCACTTGAAATAAATTTAATCCAAATTTGTTCCGATAACAATAAACTGACTTCAGATGCACTTCAAATGCACCTCAGCAGCTCAACAACCTGGTACATCCATATATCAGGTTTCTATTAGCCGGCGGGACAAATGCCAGTTTCCTCAATTAACCCCGATCTAATTGCATTTGCAGCCGGAAGCTGGACACATCCGTCTGGCTGTTTGGCCAACAACATTCTCCATAATTGGATGGGGCCAAGAGCTCAGGACTCGAAAATAGGTCACAGGAGGCCCATAATCCATCCAGTGCACTGCATCACGGGTCCGCGACCTATGCCGACCCTGTCTGGATTATAAATTTCTGGCATATAGAATATGGCACATACCAAAGCATCCAGATGCTGCCGACTGACAACACATTGTTATACAGGAAAGGACACTGCGCAGTCAGTAAGCACAGAACTGTGTACGTTATAAATGAAGACGGAGTTACGCAGAGTCATGCGACTTTACTAGTAAACACAGTTGCCTGCAGGGATGACTGCATTCGACGTGACGGCTGTCTCAGCTTGAGCCAGCCGTCGATGCAGGTCACACACGTCAGAGCAGCGCTCAGTGCACAGTAGGCACACCTAACCCCCTCCTGCTGACGCGTGCCATTGCATTCAGCACCCACACAATGACCAGACAATGCCGATTGTCATCGAACGTGCAGAGCCGACGGCTCGGGTTACGGCTGGGGCTTCGCTTGGCTAGACGTTTCCAACACAATGCATGTGGAGTACGAATGGACCACGGCAGACAGTGATGGTAGAAGATCAGATGCTTATATCGCTTGGCTGGCGATGCGATGCCGAGCTGGGAAAGCGAGAAGGTAAAGCGTAGTTACCGTCAAGCCATGACCTATCTATGTAGACGAATCAATGCGCTACGGTCAATTTTCTCACACAATGGGTATCGCATTGCAGCTTGAAGCCTGATCATCATTCAAACGACCCTTGATCGGGTCGAAAACTGGGGTGAGCGCTTCAACTGACTGCATCAAGGTGCCCGTTTTCGGCCAGTTCGCTCGGCGGAATTCTCCTGGGTAACACTTCTTTGCCGTTTCAGTGTGTACGACCGGTACCGCAGCTGTGTCAGCTCGCGGTTATGGCGCCGTAACGACAACGAAAGGTGTGGCGACGGCGTAACGACAGAGTGCAAACGGCGTAACGACGGCGTAAAGTCGGTGCCTAATGTCACGTCACGGCACCCGTTATAGCACGTCACAGGACGTTCACCTGTGATGTTGCTATTCAGCTACTGGGTGGCTACCGAATGCTTGCAATGATGAAAGACATCAGCTTGTAGGTAAATGATGCGCCATGGAAACGTACAAATATTACGGTTAACAACGCATTTAAAGGGCACTGCTATCATGTGCAAACAGCAAAACTAATGTTTAATATTCGTCTATCTAGACTAGTAGAAACCAGGCCAGTATGATAGCAACTGAATACTGATCAAATCTTCTGACTCACCCTAAAGATAGCGATACGAAATCAGTTCAAGGGCCGACAGCGTTGCAACATCGGTAATGATAGCTTCCCTGAAGGCGCGCCCGTGTACCCTCCGTATCGGGAGTGGAGCCGCATACCAGCTCCGTTTGCCTCGGAAATGATTACCACAGCAGAGTAGCATGTAATTAGCAGCCATTTATAAGCATCTAACAGCCGGAGTTTTACGGACTGTTTATCTGTGCCGTCTATATCGAATCTTTTCTTGAATTAATAAAGAAAGGAGTGGAAAACAGCGAGCTCATAATAAGAGTGATCTTGAGCGACCCGCGTATTAAGCTGAGAGTGAGTGAGAATGATCAATCACCTAGCCGGCTGCCACTTTGTACCGGATGTGAGGCGCCAGCTTCAGGTTATTTCGGCAGAAAAATAGCCCACCTCTCTCCTCGAGTTCGCAAACGATCAACCCTGTTTTGCGGCACAGTATAGCTTCAGGCGTTACAGCCAACGGCGTCATCTCGTGAGAAAAATGTCTTTGTGAAGTCTCCCGCACGAATAAGCAGCACCTTCGTCCCTTCCGGACATTTTCTCAGCTAGTCATGGTCCCTGGTCCTTCGGCCAGTCACCACGTCCCACAACTAACTATAATAGAGCGACCTTAGTTTTAGTATCACTATCATCCTAAACCATGCATCTTGAAACGTCGCCACCAAGCTGATGGACATTCCCCTAAAAAGGGGCAGTTTTTGTCAAAACATGCCAGTCGACACAGACCAATTCAGGGGACAAAAGACGTGCGTGTGTTCGTCCGCCCCATGCGTGACTCGGCTCCCCGAATGGTTCCAGTAACCGTCAGCCATGCCATGTGCAGTTGGAACTTTTTGCTAGTCGCTTCCCCTCCATCTGCACGCAAACCCCACTCACAGTTTGGAGTAGGACGGTCTCTCAGTCAGTCCTGTCCTGAGCTCAACAGCAAAAGGCTACCGAATCTTACACCGCGCAGATTTGCATTGATACATCTGACCGTCGTATTTGCAAGGTTTCGAACTTCTCGACAGTGGAAAGGAAATCCAACAAACTCCGACCAGAAAATTACGGTGCAAATCACATTGATGCGGAAACCAGACCACCCAATCGGATCACTCAATTCAAGCTGCAAATCTATCGATTACCCGAAAACCGACGCCGGGAAATTGCTCGAGTTCACGAGTCCTGACGGCCCGAGACGAGGCCTGTCATCTGTCCGGTCTGCTCAGCCCCCGGGAGCCTGGGCTGACCCATGCTTGGTAGAGTTTGGGAGAGACAGAGTGTCGGAGAGAGAGGGGGGAATAGAGAGAGGGAGGGAGCATGAAGAGTTCCGAGCCAGCCAATCAAGTTGACGTCCATTACTGCGTCGCTCAGGCTGAAGCGGAGTCCATCCCGATGGGCCGGCGTTACTGCAGAGCCGGGACGGTTGTGGACCCACCCACTAATAACCGCCATACTGACGGACCGGTCCGAGCCCACGCTCCAGTGACCCCGGAGACCCCACAGACTGACCCCGTGA